TGAAAACCAGTATTCCTTGCTGTTTGGCCAGGTCTACCCCAAAACCAACCACTATGTTTCCCAATATTTGATCCATTTGTATCACAGGCTGGTGTTGGGATGAGGGGAAGCTTGGGAACAGCCACTTGCTGCATTGGGAGGGTGCTCAGAACCTCACTGGCCATCATTGCGCTCTACTCTACTTCTTCTCAACCTTCTTAGTCACAGAAGGTGGGGCAGGAATAGTCTTGGCCTTTCCCTGCAAAGGATACCCAGGCGTAGGCCCTTCCTGAGCAACAATTTTAACCCCACCCACACTAGTCACTAGCCTACTTACTTTGAACAACCAACAGAGCATGTAAACACAGACTAAATTTAAGGATGAGGCGCGCCCTGCATTGTCTCCTTCTTATCCTTGCGAACCTGCTCCTCTTGAACACGTTGCTCCTCCTTCTTGCGAAGCTCCTGTTGCGCCTTCTCCCGCGCCTGGCGAATGCGTTCACCCATTTCCTCCTTGCGGCGACTCTCCTCCTCATCCTTCTTCTTCCAAGCTTCCTCCTGGGCCATCCGCTCCTCTTCCTCCTGTCGGACGCGCTCCTCCTCCTTCTTGCGAGCTTGCTCCTCTTCCTGTCGAATGCGTGCCTCCTCCTCCTCTTGCTTGATGCGCTCCTCCTCCTTCTTACAACGAGCTTCCTCCTCTTCCTGTCGAATGCGTGCCTCCTCCTCTCGCTTGATGCTCTCCTCCTCCTTCTGACGACGAGCTTCCTCCTCTTCCTGTCGAACGCGTGCCTCCTCCTCTCGCTTGATGCGCTCCTCCTCCTTCTTACGAGTTTCCTCCTCTTCCTGTTGCAAGCGTGCCTCCTTCTCTCGCTTGACGCGCTCCTCCTCCTTCTTACGAGCTTCCTCCTCTTCCTGTCGAATGCGTGCTTCCTCCTCTCGCTTGACTCGCTCCTCCTCCTTCTTACGAGCTTCCTCCTGCTGCTGTTGAATGCGAGCCTCCTCCTGCGCCTTCTTGCGGTTCTCTTCCTCCTGCCGATCCTGTGCATCCTTCCTTTGGCGCACTTCCAAGCGAATGCGATCGATCTCCTCCTGGCTGAGACGAGGGCCGCCATGAGGAGCAGGAACAGGTCTCTGCGTGCGCCCCAGTGGGCTGGGCAAAAATGAGGCCTGCCAAGAGTCTGTGGCATGAAATGTTCCTACCATTTAGCATCGACAAAAAACATGGTGGGCCAACCAGAAAAGTTTGGCCTCATCTCCAGCATTGGCAGCGGTTGACCATTCAGACGCCTACTCTTGGCTTGAAACAGCACTATCAAGGAGCAAAACCAGGTAAGAACGTCAAACATTCACTTCACACGTCTTCCCTCTGTCCTTGCTCTCCTGCGGAGCCAAAACACGGAGACGCTTGGCAGACGGCTCTGTGTCTTTCAAAGCAGGCATGCTCTGCTGCTTCTCCATGAGTTCACTCACCTAAAGAAAACTAACCCAAAAACAAATTTGAATAACTCAACTCTGTCGCTAAGAGCCCGCCCATGGCATGCTACGCTCAACCCTTGCAACTAAGGCACAAAAACCGAAAGGGGAACAGTCGGGGACGTGACGTACTCTTTGGTCTCACCGTCACGCTTAGTGACCGATACGGCATAGTCCATTGCTGGGCACTCTGGAAGGTAAGAGCTTTTCTGGGGCTCGTGGAGATCTACCAGAAGCGCTGTTTGGTCTGGGGCATACACCACGATGTGGTTAAACTCAGAGGAAAAGGACGTTGAGGTCTCACTGCTGGCCGCCCTGTTGACAGACCGCAAACTCAAACTGTGCAGACTGTCCGGGCCCTTCCTGGCTTCATACTGGCGGTACTCCGACACAGGCACAAACTCTTCCACCCAAGCAGTCTTGTCTTGGTTGGATACATACGGCTTCTTGTGCCTGGGCCAGGAGTTTAAACACCCCTAAACATTGTGAGTCTGAATTCTTGCCCAAGTTGGAAACAACTAAGTCTAGTACTGCGATGACCAGTACACAGTCTCATCCCATGCATTCCACGAGCGAGGCAGATATTCATGCTTCTCAGAATTACTTACGCAGTACCGGTCCCCAGAGGGGTAAGCCCTCAAAGGACCAAGAATGCGCTCCTTCTCCTTGCGGTTGTGCTTGACCAACCCGATCAAATATTTGCCGTTGACTCAGCAAGCACAGAAGAATCTGATAGAAAAGACATGGGGAACTGTGTTTCAAAACAGTTTCATTCCATTTGGACATAGTGCTTCCAAAACACCCTCTTCCTTGTCTCCACTCTGCACATCTCGCCAGTAGTCGGAGCACAGGCTGTTGAGATATGCTGCGCCTAACCAAGCCCAAATAATTAGACTTGAGTTGTCCAAAAAGTAGCGCCCAAAGGTCTCATGCAAAACAAATATAGCACGGTCACCCAAGCGCATGACGCTGACACATCTGGGGCTTGGACGGTCGTTGTCAATCGACATAGGCTTGGACTCCGGGTCAACGCTGCAGATCTCGCACAAAACGTCCTTGGTAAGCAGCTGCCAACATCCTTTCACCCATACTAATTCCTGAATTCTACAATACTTCACAGGAAGGAGATGTTGCGACCTTTCATTCATTCTGTTTGCTGAAATCTACAAACATTCACGGGAAAGAGATGTTGCAGCCCAAGATTCAGTCACCTCTTCATTTGAGAGGGCTCCTAGCGCAGAGTTGCTGAATTGGTTTGAATCCATCGCTTGCAAAGTCTTGAACTTCTCAGTCAGTGGGATCTGGTAGTGGTTCTTAAACTGCAGCGAATTGCCAGTCACTTGTTTGGCACGTCTTTGCTGGTGGGATTTGGGCGCTGGCGTGCCTGCAAACAAGAAACATGGAGAGATCCATCACACAACCTGTTCTTTACCTGATGAAAAAAGTTTTCCTGATTCAGAGCTCTATTTGACCTGACCTGACCTTGTTGGCGCTTCGGAAACGCAGGCTCAGGCTCTTCCCACGTTGAATGCTGTGGAGGCGGGGCCGGAGGTGCACCTTGACCCTTGCCACCTGCACTTGGCATGGCTGTGCAAAGTAGTCAATACGCACTTCATGAAACTTGGACCCGCTGGTGATCGGTCTCATCAGTGACAATACCAAGTCAAACATGCCACGCAACGCCTGGCTTTGGCATTGCCGGGGCGGCAGGAAAGGGAACGCTTTTGCTCACCATCGGCGGCGGCGGCGCTCGTGAAACTCCACTCGGAGGTGGTGGAGGAGCGCCGCCCATCATGACAGCGTGTTAGAAGACTACACGAGACAAGTTGCTAGCCAAGACACTGAGCACACGAACACAATTGTAGGACTACCGTAGAGCAAACAAAAGCTCACTCCCAGTTGAACACAAGCAGTTTGGACATTGTTTTGACTTCTTTCCGTGCATTGTTCACAAATCTGTGTCCGAGTCGTCAAACTGAATTAGCTCATCGTAGTTGAACTCCATATTGGTCAACCATTTTGGAAGTCTGCGACGGACGGAGGCTAAAGCGCACCCCATCACACAACCGACCTGAGGAACAACCATGGAATTGCCCAAGGCCCGCCTCATATCAAACCAAGATAGACTTGGGATATGGACACGGTAAAGCTGAGACAAGTGGCTGTACTGCTGGCAAATGGGAAAGGTGGGGAACCCCATCGCCAAATACATTTCTCTAAGTGTCATATGACGGTGCATCGCTGGAACAATGTAAAGGGAGCCAGAACGCCGAATTGTCGGAATCTTACAGCTATGGGCGGACCAAGTAGTCCATCCAGTTCGAGGGTCGTCGCCGACATGGCAAATCAAATCTTGAAAAGAACAGGGGTCATGCATTTGCTTCCACTTCAACACATAGGCTGCAGCTCGAAGACTCTCATTCGGAATGAGGGCGTTCGCAGGGTGAGGGGAACCAGTCCATTCAATTCCCCATGCTTTAAAGAGATGAAAGCAATCTTGCTCAACATCCAGCTGATCTGCGATCAACACATCAGATGGCCTCGCAGGCAGACAGATTTGCTACACACTGCTTGAAATCATCCCACCGGTTAGCAGAAGAAACTGTGCGTGGAAGTATTTATTCTTCAAACATCAAATCCAAAAAAGCAACGCAAAAGTGCAGGTGCAGCAGGAACTTTTGCAGGTTGGTTTGGTTTCTCCTGAGTCTGATCCAAAAATATTTGAAAAGAAAAGAGGACTGGGATGGAACCCAGAACGCCTGGCATTTTGGCTGATGTGATGTATTCGAGAAACACGCCTGCTGTCCACAGGCTCCAAGCAAGTTCTAACTTCCACATGATTGTTCTTTAGTGTGCACCTTTATTATATATTAAAACTTGATGCAGGCTTAGTTGAGCAAGAGTTTGACAAGGGGCCTCGACTGTGAAGTAGCAGGCTCTCTTCGCAGGCAGTGGTGCACATACTGTAGAAGTTCGTTGGGATCGCAAAGGGCCTCTGTTTGTTCCTCATTGTACGCCACCATGTTGCGCCTGCTCGTTGCACTCGAAAAAACATTTACAGCAACAAAACAAAGGCAAAGCAGCAGACCAATTTACGTCGAGAAACAAGAACAAAAGTAAGTAGGCGCTGATGAAATCGCAACCAACGTCGGTAGGTTCTACGCAGCTATTGATCACCATCGTAAATTCATTCCCAAGTGCTTCGGAAACGCAGTCTGCGGGGCATGAGACAACGTTTTCTATTCCGACCACAGCATTGCGCGCTGCCCGTGCTCTTGCAGCGAAGGCCAACATGGCCGGATAAGCTCGACCCTCAATCCCAGCCTTGTTCCCTGCAGTTGAGAAATCAACGCAGGGGAATCCACCAACCCGTGAGGCAGCCCCAGTGAACAAGACACAAAAGCTCTGGTGTTTTTCACACCACATGGACTCCAGACACTGCCACTCCAAGGCCAAGTTGACTCTTTCTTCAACAGTACCTTTCTTCATGAAGCTCTGCAGAACCTTGTTTCCGTCATGCCCAAAAACATGGAAAACATCAGTGAAGAGATGGCAGTGGTCAGGCAGACGGGAGAGCAAAGCGGTGCGCATCGCACCGTCAATTTCCTGCAGGCAACCAGCCCCACACTCAGTGAACCGTCAACCGCGTGGCGCTTCACACAGGTTTGTTTGCACAACCTACAACAAATCACCAAGCAAAACATTCTCAGCCACGACCAGGCTGCACAGGTGGATTGTGGCTCTGGCAAATTGGCAGGCCACGGTGAGCTCCAGCAGCGGAAATAAATTGGAACGCCACTTCCCAACCCGCAGCCCCACCGGTGAATTCTGAATCTGTTCCAGTGCTGCTGCTGCACAAGAGCGATCTTCTTAAAAGGGAGTCTGGAATGCGACTTTGGAGGCTTTGAAGTAGCACATCCGCCCACCCAAATTTCTGAGCAAGTCTACTGGATCTATCCATCTTTTCAGATTTGAGCAAAAAAACTACACCTAGGGCCAGGGTTTGTGACACTGTCCTTGGCTCAGAATGTGGACGCAGCATGCAGTTGTTTTTTTTTCCACGAGTACTTCCAAGTAAAGTGGCTTGCCACCAATCAAGAATCATGAGCAGCGACTCAATCGACGAAAGCCTGCAGAAATTGCGCAAAGAGACTCCCCCCCGGAGGGGAGGTCGGTTCAGCCCCTATTGGCACCCACAGGCACCAATGGCAAGCAGAGTGAGGTGTCTTCTATGTCAGCAAGGCACTGCACCATTGCAAAAGGTAGACGGCTTCATGCAGGGCCCGTGTGAGACGAGTGAAACAGGTGAAACATGGACACGCATGGTACCTTTGGGCTCTCACTGCGTGAGCGCACCCTGGGGCGGTGCCCTTTCCACCACAAAGAACGTACACTCGGACGTAAGTGTTGACGCACGCCAAAAAGGCGGAGAACCCGCAGAAGCATGCAACACCACGAGTTCATGTCTTTGTCCAATGTGGCCTGCGAAGGTTTCCACATGAGGAATTTCGCAACGCAGCACAGCTCGACCCTTGGTTCAGGGCCTTACTGTGGCCTGACTGTATATTAAGCCGGGGTGTTCCTGCCAGAACCCCGACCGCTCGGTGACCCAGTCGATAGCGATCCCACCCTACCTATGACCTCAAACCCGAAGGAATGGAAAGAGACAGGTGGAGGTCCAGGTCACCCCAGACACCGTGACCACTCTGGCATTCATCACGGAGGAACCGACGGTCTGATCCGTGTGGAGCTTGGCCACCCCTCACACGAACTTTGACCGTTAGCCAGGTCACAGACAAGGATCATAACGTCGAAACATAATCACATCCAACCTTGGCAGGCTAGGCCCCGTTGCCCATTCATTTCCACCGGTGTGGAACTCCCGAAGGAGAACTCAGTGTGTCCACACGCAGGAGTTCACCGACTTGCCTGACCATCAAAGGAGCTACCCCAACCACATTCAAGTCCTTAAGAAGAGGTGGAAGGGACCCCGACTCCAAGTCACCAAGGAGTGGATGGCGCTGTGGCCTGTCGACCACGCAGCACCAGTTGACACGTCCAAGTCAACAAGGACATGCCAACTGGCCGGCTAGGGAGTGTAACGTAACCATGTCCATTCATGGTTCCAGGTCGAAGGGATCTACGGACCGTACCATGAAAATCCTCCCCCAACAACCTTGGGACCCTCGCGGGTCCACGCTCCCTCTTTAGGACTAGGTATCGGGGACCCCATCCCCCTACCCATCCTAGCATGGTATCTGTACTTCTTCATACAAAATTGGAAATGTCGGACTTCAACAAAGGGAACTAAGGTTCCCCCTGGGCATCCGCCATTACCACTCTCTACCACCCGCCTGGTAGGAACGAAGAGCTAAGGCTCTCACTCCTATTGGCTCACTGCAGTTCGATTGGCACAAAGAGCTTGCTTAGTGCTTGCATATCTTACTTGCCGTACTCTGCCGTCAGGCAGCTTGTTCCCTTTTCCGGTCACGGGCTTGCCTCGCCAAGGCGCACGCCCCGACTTCTAACTAGTACTGACAGCATATCGCTTGCGGTAGCCAAGAAACAGCCTTGTTTTCATCCGAGACCTGGGGCGTACCCCATGTCCGGGATCATGTGCAGCCAAGGTGGCCATCGCATAGCAGGACAAATGGCGAAAGCGTTCTCTTCTGCATAGACTCCTCGCCATTTATGCCTTCCTGGCATCTTGACCAGCCTCCTAAGGACAGTGCAATCTAGGAAGGCCCTACTTCCTATGTACCTCAGCGAGGGTGGAATGGCAAGCTCCACGAGAGCTGCACAGTTCATGAAGGCTTTGACTCGGATTGTATGGAGTGTCATCGGCAGGAGAACTTCTCTGAGGCTAGTGCAGTGCACAAAGGCGAATTCCGGAATTTCCTCAACTTGGGTGTTGCAAAGGTCTATACTCTTGAGCAGTCGACAACTGTCGCATGCATGCGCTCCGAGAGTGGCAAAATGCATTGGGAGAGCAAGTGCAGTGATTCCTGTGGAGCTGAAACAGCCCGGCGTTAACTCCCCAACCCTAGCTTGCAATCCTGATTCTCGGGAATATGGAGACTCACTTAAGGTAACCTCCGCGAGATTGATACACCCCTGAAAAAGGTAGTGTCCTAACTTGGCTTCGCTATTGAACACATTTGCTGCCCCTTCCGATGCATGCACCCATTGCAAGGAACAACATTCCGCAAAAGCTTTATACCCAAAGTCTAAGCAACCCTGAGCCTCGACGCTGTTTAGCAGCTTGCAATCACGGAAGACATTATCGGAAATGCCTACCACTGTGGCAGGCAGTTTGACGATGCGTAGCTGCCGGCAGTTTTGCCAGGCCTCTGCCTCAATGAACCTGATACCTGATTCTACACTGACATGTCGCAGACGTGGAACCCCTGCAAAGGCCCCTTCCGGGACACTTCTCTCTGGGTTCATGGGGACATGTGCTGCTAGCGGAATGTGATGGATAGGGCAATCCTCAAGTTCTACTTGAGACGGCAGGATATCACTACAGTTTCGAAAAACGATAGTGTATTCCATACCTTGCTGTAGCTTGTCCCAGATTGGGTCCTCTAGGTAAGTCTGTGTGGCAGTTTGCAAAAAGTCAATGCAGCACCCAAAGACTTTGAGATCAGTAGCAGAAACGAGATAGTCCATAACCTGGTCTTCTAGATCCTCAAAACGGTCAAACTTTGCAACACTGAGAGAGACCTGAAAAGTCTCTCCCGAAAGTGTAGTCAGCATCAGGGAGCATTCCATGACTGGCTCCTTTTCAGGGGGAGTGCTAATCATGGATGAATCATCAAGCTCCATGTGCAGCAGGTTATTTGC